AAAAATTTAACTACCGAACAAGTTTAAAAATTCAATTTTGACAAGTTTAAACCTTATTACGATTAGATTAAATTTCAATCAGGATCTAACTCAAATTCAAAAATCTCTCTATGATATTTCGGACACCGTAGCATTTTACGAAAGTCAAATTAAAACACTTAATCTTTGCGAAAGCCTTATGGAAAGTTATGTATACCTAGAGTCTTACCTCAGCGATATATTAAACGCAATCACGTTCGCACGAATCAAAGTTTACATAGTTCTATTATTTACCCACGAGATTTAGTCATTTCTCTTCAGGAAATTTCAAAATCCTTGACAAAAAATAATTTACCACTACCACCCTATACTTCGAGCATTGCAAGGTACGTAGATATTATGGAGCTAGAAGCATTTCAAACTGAAAATAAAGTTGTTTTTGTACTAAGAATACCCTTAATTGAGCCTGAAATATACACATTGTATCGTGTTTTACCTATTCCAATTTTGTACAATCGAACACGATTATTTCATATAATTCCATCAACAATAAAATATATTGCGCGTGATGACGATTCTTTACTCTATGTACTACCTGACGATCTAAAAAGCTGCAAACAAATTCGCGGTAAAGAAAGAATCCGAATTCCGATCGTGTTCCTGTTACATGTCAATCTTCAATCGTGTCGGCCTCCGATTACAATGTTATAGAAATCGACTTTAATTATTGGTTAATTACCGTATCCGAACCACTACCAATCTCCATTAAATCTGGAAAAAGAGACCTCGTAGCCGAAATGTTAAAAACTAATTCTTTACTTAAACTACAACCAGATTGCAGTGCATTTATTGGAAGCTCCAGAGTACGAGCTAAATACTTTGTCGAAGAATATAAGAACGTGACCTACAAGAGCCACGCCGTGGAGATTCCATATGATTGCTGTTCTTACATTCCAGAGAAGTTTCAACCCCCAGAGTTGAAACCCCTGAAGCTAAGTAAGATCGACACCGACGACCTTAACGTGGCCCAACACAAGCTGCACGAATATTTGGAAAAATTAGAAAACCTACTTCATCAACCAACCCTTCAGAAACATTCTCACTGGCTGACAATTATTTCGATTATTTTAATGACTGTTTTAGTACTTTACTATTTCGTTTGCAAATGCCGGACAAAGAAACCGACAACACTCAGCATCGCCGATGGTAACGATCCCCAACAACCTCCGAAGCCAAGTCGAAAACCCCTGCTCCCGATGCAACTCAAATCACTAACTCCGAAAAGACGGACTAGCATCCACCCAGAAGTAACTAACCGAGAAGCTACGCTTTAATTAGTCTACGAAAAGCTGCAGCTAGGCTCCACCTTTTCACTTAATGGGGGAGCTGTTATATCCGGAAATCCTATTGTCCACATGGGTTAAATGCCACCGACCTGCAAGAGTGCAACGATTGCGAAAACGTCGTGTCAACGATATGTCGCAACATCCGCAGCCGTCGACCCCGTCAACGTCAGCATAAATTTATTATAAATACTAATTTCTATTGTAAAACGTGGTCTGATAACATTCTCTCATCACGAGGTTATTATGTCCATTTTTAGTTTGATTTTAACGGTCTGATAACATTCTCTCATCACGAGGTTATTATGTCCATTTTTACTTGTATTTTAACGGTCTAATAACATTCTCTCGTCACGAGGTTATTACGTCCAATTTCATTTTGATTTTTATTTTAATTTAAAGTTAATAAATATATTTTTTAAAAAGTTATTTTTGAAAAGTGAAATATAAAATATATATATATGTATATATATATATATATATATATATATATATATATATATATATATATATATATATATATATATATATATATATATATATATATATATATATATATATATATATATATATATATATATATATATATATATATATATATTTTTTTTTTCTTCTTATGTCGACCGTACTAAACTTATTTGAATTCAAAGGATATCGGGTACCGGTCCGTGGTTAAAAAAAAACAAAGAAAATAGAAAGCTCCTTTTTCTTTAACACTCAATATTTCGTCAATTTATTTGTTGACTTCTTCAGGAGTGAACTAAAATTTAATGAAAACAAGAGGTCAAACTATATAACAGACAATTAAAACAATCCTGAGAAATACTTACAAAATTAGAGTCTACCACATAGTTCCTCAAAACAATACTTTACAGTTAAGGTAAATGAACGAAGCGACATAATGAAACAATGATAGGCAAAAGTTGCGCTAACAGGGGTAGCGAAAAAAAACAATCAAAAAACAATCGAAATAAATAATGACAGAAAGAATCATCGATTATGAACTATCTTGTTTACAGAGGCGTAAAACTATCTCAGTGCGAATTACCCCGAATTAAAACGCCTAATATTTACTTTTCTCTCTAATAATCTCCACAGTAATCATATTAAGTGTTCCATCACAAAATAAACTTTACTACAACGTTCCTAACATATCACAATTTTTTACGAAATATAATGTTAAAAGCAGATTTACTATTTTTCCAAAAATCAACATGTTCAATCCGCCAAAGACAAAATTCCGTTTGTGACACCATTAGGTTACAGCATTCCATGCATATGCAGCAAAGCATATGAACTAGGTTAAAGGAACACGAAAGGGTCTTAAGACTAAGTAAATTCATTAGGAATTGCCGAATGCAATCACGAAATTGGACATCAAATTTTATTCGATAAAATTAATGCATATAATCATTTCTTCTACCCAAGAAAAATCCGAGAATCTTTAGAAATCTATAAGCAACGAAACAAGCTTTTTCCTTTCACCAATATGGGAATCAGTCATCCGAGACAACATTCATGTCCCATCTTTAGCTCCACCCCCTTAGGCAGGTACAGAGTAGAATGCGAGTCAGTTTCAATTAAGAGAATAAGCAATCAAACAATCTTAACCGTTACTCAGGTCTTCACTTTTCACCAATATGGGAATCAAATCTTATTTGGCCAAATTAAAATTGTATGGCATCAATTGTTCTATCAAAGAAACTCCTAGAATCCATTGAAATATCTAAACAAAAAACAATATTAACCGTAACCAATTCAAATAGTATATAAGCGGGTACAAATGAAAATCAGTTTCGGCTAAGCTCTGAAGAAGTCAACAAAATGATTGGCGAAACGTCAGCTAGTTCGATTAATCGACAACTGACGCAGGAGAATCCAGAAGATGTTTAAATATTATTACAGAAGCCTGCAGGAAATTTCATTTAAAAATTATGAAATTGTATTTTAAATTTTCAAGTAACCTCACAAACCTATCACTAATAAAACTCTATTTTAATAATAGCCTATCGACATCCCATTCTACGATGCCCATTTAAGATTTCATATTCGCGTCGTGAGTTACTTCGCTATTTTAATCACGGATATTGCGAGTGATCGGATATTTTCGATCACGTCATTCGGTGAATGTGTTGGGACCGTTTTGCAAGAATGTATCCCAGAACTAATGGTCCATTGAAACAGTTATTGTATTTGCATATGTAACAAAACGGCATTTTGGTAAACGAAATATGTGCTTGATAATAATTGTAAGAAGGATTTTGGTTCTTTTGGTTAACTATTTTAATAGGAAATTTCTCGCTTCTTTAGTATAACTGAAAATTGACATTAATTCCCACATTTTTTTATTTTTTTATTAGTTTTATTAGTCAATGTCAATCATTTTCAGCTTCAACTATATTCGAAACTGTTGAGTAGCGTAGAGACTATGAAATTCATTTCAAATAATTATTAACCCAAATAAATGCAAATGCAATTGACGAGGCTAGTCAGGCGTGAAGTTCGCACTTTATGATGTCCGTGTAAAAGCAGAAACTATGAAAAAAGTTGTAAGGAGAATTATATCCCGATTAAATTCTTAGAAACCTTCGAAGCAAACTGTAACCCGAAATTTGGCTATTCAGAAAAACGTACAGGAAAGATTAAAATGCAGTGGATCCTACCTGCAGACCACGCGGTTCCGTCGTTCCACCGGCGCCGTTCCAATTTGCCTTCGCAGCTTCGTCGCCTTCTTGCCTCGCGCACGTTAAACGGAAGAAAAACGGCCGGAAAACTTGTTTTAAGACGAGATGAAAAAAAAACCCGGGAAACTATCGCGACCGATTAAACCCGGACCACTCGCTCGGTACGCCGTTCGCGTCTGCCGTTCCGTACTTCCGCGTCGGCGAGAATTTAGCGCAGGATGCCTGCGATCAGTTCTGTACGCTACTCATGTTTAAAACTAACAAGGTACTGTAATAACCCGAAGAAAAAAAAGTTTGTATATTGTAACCCCCCGTTGTCACCAATAAAGAGAAAAAAAATTAAAATAAGACATAAACATAATTTAAATGTACATTCCTTAACAGTCCGTACTCTTATTTTTCTTGAATTTGCCCAATTAAAGGCCCGAATGTCATCTAAGACTAGGTTTATATTATTATATAAATAAAAGAGTTTGCCATTAAAGAATTGCTTGTCGAAATAGAGCAATTTGGCTGCTTGTGTAGCTGCTACCTGGCGGAAAAGTTCCCGTTACGAGCATTGACGTCATAACCAATAACCTTGTTTTATTATTGGTGGTACATTATTAGCTACTTCATTTTAGGATAATGTAACAAAACTTACTTTCTTATATTAATTTTTCAAATTTAATAAATCAGAAGACCATAGTTTATTCGACTAATAATAATTTATGGTTCAAACCATAAAAAATTTATCCAGGATGATTTTCATATTGTTGCTGATTGTGAAGTTTTTGATTTGCCAGACGAGCGAGGGAAACCCAGAAAGGTAAACGTAGAATCTGCTCTTCAAACAGTCAGATAATTATTAAACTTTTACTTCACAACGTTAATTGTGGCTATGACTGTTGCTACTTTTATGTTGGCGGCGTATTTATCGGAAATCGGTGAGTAGATCATCTCTCGTTCATATTGAACAAATGCTGTTATAAAACAACAGTCTACCTAAAGCGGAAATACAGTAATACTAATCTCCATGAAGTTCGAATACCGGGTGCTCGAAAGCATTACTCTTGCAGAATGTTTGTTTATGGCTCAATTTTGATAATTGATTTGTTAGATAGATTTCACTGAAAGACACAGACGATTTTCTTAAAATTAGATATGATTAGAGAGGTTGAGATATGGACTAAACGGACTTTCAACGCTTGAAAATGAAAACAATGAAAACAACAGAAATATCAAAATTGATTGACGTTGGCATACTGATTCCTTTGTAAAACCGAGTTTGCTATGGACAGGCGAATATTCGACTGGCAAATTCATTGCCTGATTTACATTTTTATTTAACTCACCAACCAACAACGCAGTCGTGTTATTCCTTTGAGTCAAATAATTTTTATTATTTTAATGATCCAGTATTAAGTGCGCAAGTGTAAACTTAAATATTAAGGTCGTTGAACAAAAGTGAAAAAGGGCCTTTAAACGTTAATTTCTGCATACTCTTGAATATGCTGACAGCGAAAGAAGAATGGAGTTTTGTGTATGGTTACAGCGTATGTACTTATAGTCACAGGTTCCTGAACAATATTTTGTACAGGGTGGGCTGTTTAAGAGGGGCGTATACCTTATTTTGGAAACCTACGTTGGTTACAAAAGAAATTTAAATAAAAAACTTGTTTCTATTGAAATGATCTTTGCTTTTTTTATTTTCTCAATCGTCACTTTTTTATATACAGGGTGGTAAAACAAAGTTACATTTTTTTAAATCACACCCTACATTTAATTGCATTTTTTGATAGTCCTATCAAAGACAAATTCAATTTATATATGAGCATGGGTCTGTGATGCACCGTTTCGAAGTCATTAGCCATCATCCGGGTTATGTTTAAACCAGCATTGTGGAGTTGCTTATTAACTTTTCAAACTTTTGTATTTATGAAAATAATGCTTTTGTTTATGCGCACTGTTGCCACCTTTCGAAAAATGATACTTTTATCAATTTTCTTAAACAAGACACCCTGTATTATTCGATTGTCGGATAGCCACTTTAATATTTATATTATTTGACATCAAAAATTAGTCAGTTCGCCATAACTGCAGGTTGATGTAACACGAAAAATAAAATTTTTGTTCGTTTTTGAGAGATCCATCCAACAAAGAAAATCAAAATCAAACCGTAATCAAAGATTTTACAAACACCCTGTATTGAAACGTTATAGTATAGTTGGGCATCAGAGTGACTTTTAACTCCATTACTTTTACTTTGGTGTTTTGCCAGTTAATGGCTCTCGCTTGGAATGCAAACGGGATACTGATTCAAGTAAGCGTTAGAATGAAAACAAAATGCCGATGGGCGGAAAATAGTTTTCTAGTTTCTAATAAACGTCTATAAACGATATTGTAAAACAAGTAAAATTCATGAAACAAATTTGTGCTTTATTTAGCAACCACAACCTTACGGTCAACATAAGTAAGATGAAGATATTCTAAAAAATATAAAATAAAATAAGAGCTGCTTGTGCTAGATAATCTAATTGTGAAAGGTACGAGGGATTTAAAGTTTCAATGCATATGTTGCAAATACTGCATATTATTACTACTGAGTTAGTGAATAAACGCTTTTTAAATCTCAATCCGCAATACTAGAACACAATACAATACAATACAAGAACGAGTTCCAGTTAAATTAATACTGTTGCGCATCCCATAAAGTGAATTTTATAAGCTTCCTCACTCTACTCGTGTCAATGTCTTCCGCAACTTACTATTGCTGTGCCTCCACTCCCTTTTCAATACTGTGTTACCTGATGGTTATGTTTGTGTTCGTGTAAATGTGTAAAATACAACAAGGAACCAGGAGCCCTATTCCACTCATTTTAAACTGCAGTTCAATAAAGGTTAAAATGATTATACTCAACAATCATTTTACAATTTAAACAGTTGAGTTTAAACCAGTCGCTTTTAAATTACAATGATGTGCATTAGGTAGTCGGCATTCACAACCCAAAGGAAAGCTTTTAATCTATTAAATCACGAAACGTTTTCAAACATACTATGCTAGAGTGATGAGAGATCGTCAGACATCGACTCGAAGTTCAAATTCCGGATAAATAATTTGCAAATGTTGAACGAAGATTTAAATACAGTTTTTAAATGCAGTTTTTAAAGATCATTCCCTACTTTGAAATCCTGAAAACGATGTATAGACTAAGTTTTACTGATCTGATTTACGATCCTAGTCTAAAAATCCCTGTGTGGCTCATTTTCAAATGAATGACGTACTCATTAAGAAGATAGAGGTATTATTTCTATCCGATCATAAACGGTAGCGTTGAGCTTCCGAAAATAACTGTAAAGATATAAAAAACAAGAGGGCAATTCAAGTCAGACCTGAGGTCACGATTCAATATATAATATACAATATAAAAATAGGAAGTAAATAGTTTTAAAAATAAGTTGTTTAATGTTGGAGCATTGTTATAAATGTTGGTTACTTATTTAAGCGAATTTGAGCTACATATGTAAGATGTTTTTGGCATGCGGTATTGCCAGATTTATTTGTAACGTATATCAACTTTCGTTTTTTAATGGAACACTCTGTATATCAGTAACATGTAACATGTACGATACCTATCTTGAAATTTTTCGGAGATGAAAAATACTATCTAAGAAGTTTGGCAACATAAAACTCGTAACTCGCAACCCGTACAGCTAAACACTTGAATTTTTGGTTGCCATTCCCTATTAAATTAATTTATCGCGTACAATTAATAATTGGCCAAATATAAAAATCCATGCTAGGCGGGAGCACCCCATATTTCATATTGGCCTGTAAATGAGGAAATAATTTGCCATCTAAATGTAAAAAACCGTTTTCCTCTTTCGAATTCTCGTTGTAGATACAAAAATCTATTTTATTATCCATCATTAAACAAAAGACATTGAAACTAAATGTATGTTGCAATAGCTTGATTCGTAAAAATTTTGGATTGTATTATGAAAAATGATTATTCCTTCTATTAAAAATACACTCCCGCGAAAAATTTTGATTCGCCGCGTCGGTACAAATATTTCTTTCGAAAAATATGGTAAAATGTTGGTTTCATTTTCTTCTGAGTTTTTAACAATTTACTTCCTTCGTAGGTTTCATTTCTTTTAAACTATATCCCATAAATTGGTGGTAAATGCGTATATTGGTCATTAAATATTCTGCACGTCCTTGAAACAATTCTTTGACACTCAATATAAATGTAATTCAAATTTAAAATGTGTGTGTTTGCATAATTATGTGCCATCTTCCTTTTTCAAATAAATGCTACTTTTAACTATGAAAATACGAAAAAACGAGTAATCCGCATGGCCGGACAGATGAAATGTGGTTATTTTTATATATCGAAAACTAGTGAAAATATATATACCATAGTCCGGTACTTTTAGATGGAAAATTAATTGTTCATTTACCTGCCAATATAAAATATGGGGCGTTCCATTTAAAATTTCCACGAAATATTGATTTTAATATCTTGCCAATTAGGTCTTATGCAATAAGTTAATTCTCATACTATATTACGGGCTAAAGCAATTTAATAGGGAACCGCAAGCAACAATTCGAGTGTTTAGCTGTACGGGTTGCGAAAAAAAAAATTATTTTATATCGGGTTATTGGTTGTCAAATCTCTTAGAAAGTATTTTTATCTGATGTTCAAGAAACGTATAGTATATGTTACATAAAAGAGTTTCAGAATGTTTCGCAGAGTTCAAAAATGTAATAATATACATTTAAAAAACGAAAGTTGATATGCGTTACAAGTATATCTGGCAATACCTTATGGCCAAAAATATTTTACATTGGTAGCTCATATTCACTTATATAAGTAACCAGCATATCAGGTTTTATTACATTGTGAATAACTCTGTATAAAAGGAGCCATAAGTACTATATTTTCAATGTGTATAATGGAAAACGCAACTCTTATCTTATTAGTCAAGTAGGGAATTTGCGCTGCTTTGCCACGAATGATTTGCCAAATATTCCACAAAAAGCGCGTAATAAATGTGGATAATTTGTGTGTGTGGATACTTATTCTTAAGTAATTACAAAAAATTATTTTTTCTGTCATATTCCCAAATAACCCCCTATACAGGGCTCTATATTTTGCACACTATTTAGAGAATTCATTATAAGAGACAGAAAATATGTGAATACAAACCTTTTAGGGATTCACCTCTATTACCTTTTAGATAGTTAGACTTTTTAAAAGAAAAACGAAGTCCAAAGTGACATGGAAATTATTATTATCTTTATTAATCCATAAGAGCGGAGACTTTAATATTATATAGTCTTTAATTTATTATACACAATTAGACGTTTATTACATGATATTCCAACTGCCTATCCTAATTATTTTCATGTAGAAAGCTGCATTTTTTGGGCAGCAGTTCAAAGGCAGCCGATGCATGCATAAGAGTTTGCACATCCATAAGATGCTGGCTAGATAATTAAAAGATCTTTCCAATGGTCTTTCAATCCACAATGGGGACTTAATTTCTACCATAGTACCCCTTAATTCGCCCAAGTAATGTTGTTTTTTTCTTCATAACTTCTAATATGATTCGGAAGAAATTTAAAAAAATCATTTTGTGCAACAATTTTTTATTTTTTTTTTTCATAAAAACAATTATTTTGCTAATACGCTTTCCTTATTATATCATGATGTTTTTGTTCCTTCTATTCTTTCCACGATCCATTATTACACACTTCCAGAAGACATCACCGATACGTACGAATAAGCTAGTTTGAACCGCTACAAATCAAAACTTTCACTTATACTTTAAGCGCCATAAAAAAAAATTGCTTATTAATAATTATGGAAATTACGAAGCAAAATTCTGCAAGAAATATTACTTAATAATGAATAATAAGCAGATAAAAATAAATAAATGCAACTTATTTTTGATTTCGAATTAAATTTCAATTAAAATTTCATAATTATTCATTACTACCATTTTCATTTTAATTGTTTTCTCTACACGCCATAAGTACTTTAGAACTGACCTAACCTAGATATTTAGATGTATCTTTTAAAAATAAAGATGTTTCCTTGATATTGGTTTGGCTTCAGAATACAATAATTTTTAAAAGAGTTGAAAGAAAAGGTTTTAGAGTTTTTTATGTGTCTATCGTTCTTATTAAATCCTGTTTCTTGTGTTTCTCTGGATAAAATGTAAAAAAAAATCACATCATACGTAAAGAGCACTTGGGTTACATTGAGGTGGGTGAGTCAGTTTCAAGAATAATACACAATATTGTGTATACTGTGTGTTGCACAGGGTGAGTCAGCCATAGACTAAAGTTTATTATTTAATTGGTTTAAAACTTTGATAATGACCATTTTCTCATCTTTTTGAAACCAATGAGATCATGAACTATATACTATCATTGGCTCACTCACGACAAAAATAAAAGCAGAACTACAGAAATTGCAATTTTTTACTAACTTTTTCAGGCATTGAATAAAAACTTAATGATACCGTGCCTTCTTTGGTTTGTGAAATTTTTTCTTAATTATAATGGTATAGAGCATTGTCTAAAAATAAATAACCGGGATTTTGAACTTAAACTTACAGACAGTACTGCCTCGGTATTAAGTGCTCCGAACGGACCGATAGAAATCGTTAATTGCCTTTGACACCTAACCATCATTATCTGGAGGATGACCCTAGTCTGCAAACTTTCGTGGTACCATTTGCTATTGTATAAAGCTGTAGCAAGATTTTCACTCTGAAAACAATTAATTTAGATACACGAATGCGTACAAGGGTTTCCTGTCTATTTTTCTACCATATCTAACAGGCTTACTTACGTATGAGAGATAACAAGAAAGTGTAAATACGTAAGTTTCATGATTTTAATTAATCATTTCGATCAAAAAATAGAGCGCCCTGTATGTTATTTTATATTTTGTTGATGCTTTTTGGTGATTTGGGACATTGAATCAATTAATTTTGAAAATATAGTTCAAAATTTTAATAAAATGATATTTAAATCTTACAACACAATTGTTGCATGCATGCCATGCAGATTCACCGATAAGATGACACTTTCTCTTTAATTTCATAGCATAGAGCAAACATAATGGAAAAGATTCATGTTTTCCTACCGACAATCAGTACCTATCACAAAGAAAATTGTTAACTTGTAGGATATTGTGGGGAGGGGCTCCATCCTGTTGTCATATTAGATTTACACATGATTATCAAACAACGGTTCTTTGTCCTTCTAAAAAAAATATATAACAAAAAGAACAAAAATACGACTGGATCTGTAATGTGCATGGTAATGCACGACACTAAAATCTTGTCTATTTTTGCATATTACATACATTGAACTATGATTAGTGATATAGAGTTGCATCAAAAATTGCTTAGAACTTAAAATAAAATCTAATGAAATTTAAGAGGAAATAATTTCTAAAAAAAATACAATTAGACTTGAGTCATCTTAATAATTTGTACATTTGAGTGCACTCGGGGATAATGATGAAACTTAATTGCCGTTTATTTTAGAGATGATGTCATCACAAACTGATTCTATAACCCCTAGCTAACCTCAATCGCGACTTCGTTCGCGTTCCATGCCAGAGCCATTAGCTGACAAGATATCAAGCCAAAATAAATGTAGTTGAAAACGACCTTAATGCCCTAGAAATGCAAAACGCTTTTGCTACCCTAAAATTACTGGATAAAGTATATTACTGCAAATATTTGAAAAATGACGGCAGCAAGGAGAAGGGATGAAACACCGTACTCCAAAAATATTAAATGTTTAAAGTTGCCGTTGAGCTCGACGGTCCATCTGAAAAAAAAACTCATCTACCAACTAACCAAAAATAAAATCCTCAAGTTAACAAGAATAATCAAAGTTTTTCTCTAGAACTCGTTAAAAAGATACGGAGTGTTGAACGTCAACAATTTTCAATTAGAGAAAAGAATTGAACAACGCTTTAAGCACATGTATATTTATAGAAAATATTTATAGAAAATAAAAATCTAATAATAATCTCTGCCCATTCGCCACCCAAATATTACCAGATTGATTAAGTTAGTTTTATTTAGTAGTATTTATTAGTTTTTGTTAATGTAATATTAATTTGTTTGCCCATTTTTAATTAATAAGTTTACCTGAAAGTTTTCTGACTCTACTTTAATTATATTAAATAATGAATAATAATGATGGCCACGGCCATAATGGAGATAGGAAGCAGAGTCTACATAGAAAAAAGCGAATTAGATAAGAATTAGCAGTAAGTCTGAAAAAATGTGTTGATGAAAGTGGCAACTCCAATATTTTTATTTTCAGAAAGGAATCCAAAAGGAAAAAAAATATTTGAAATATTTTGTTTTGTAGAATATATATTTCTGTTCCCAAGTTGTGTGTGAAATGAAGTTATAATAAAAGCTTCCAGGGATGACGACTAGAAACAGACATGTTAACTAAAAAATAAGAAATAACTTTAATATTTTTTTCTTTAGATAAAAACAATAATAGCACATAAAAGATTATAACAGTAGAACGCATATTTAAATATCTTACTTACTGAATCAGTTCCTGATGCAACTTGCTAAACATTTTCAGACTGTAGAGAGCATGATCGCCACCTTTCGCACAATTTTCCGTTCGGTGGGTGGCAAAATTTTCTAAATTATGCTGGAGAATCTTCAAACGAGCTCTCATGTAAATTAGAACTGAGTTCGTAATGGCGTTTACGGCCGTACTGTAAAAACCAGTTAAGCAAATTTCCAGCGTTTGATGGCACATCACTACAATGAAATATTTGTTTCGATTAAATGGATACCAAAGCGCAACTGGAAACGGATCCTCCCGACTTTCGTTAAGGGACCTTGGCTCCCTGTGAAATTTGTAACTTTCTTCGATTCCTAAAATATAATAGAAACATATTTCATCTATTTAAAGTTGCGCTAGTCACTGAGAAGTTATCTACATAAATTTGAAGCCAACGGCACTCAATATGTATTGAAAGAATTTGGGAAAAAAGTTCTATTAAGGAAGTTGTTCGTTTGGTCGAATTAAACAAGCAATTTCAACATTCTTGGAAATTTATTGTATTTTTTGAATTTGATGAAAGTAAAAAAATCCTTCATCCGATTTTAAATTAAATCAAAATAAAAAGAATGTGAACTTGCTAAGCTTTTTTCTCAAGCTACAGACTTCCCGCTATCACTAATTGTTCAACCTCTCTTGTAATTTACAGAAAAAAATATATACCTAAATTGTGTGTGTTTAAAAGAACTTTTGCATTATATAACTTGGCCTTGCAGATGATGCTGTTTCCTATAGAGGGAGGGCCAATCGTGGAACTGTCGTTCTTCTTTTAGGCGTAATACTATAATATACAGGTCGCGAAAAATGTTAGCAAGTATAACAAAGCAAAACTGATAACTTAACACAAGTTCCTACTAGAATACTATTTAAGGCTGTCAGAAACACATCAAAAAAGCTCAGCTCATTTGTAAATCCCAGCAAATATAGAGAAGGAAAAGGAATAATCCACTGACAAAGAAGAGAGTCAAATTCACATCTGCCATACATCGGAGGATTGTTAAAAAAGCTTCAACCCATATTCCGCCACTACAAAATTAAAAGTGCCTTCATATCTGACATGGCTGTGGCCTCACCAAGATAAAACTCGTTGAGCAGAAAGACGGCATATATGAAATACAATATCAGCGTGGATTAGCCTATATTAAAGAGATCCATCGAACTGATACAAATACGACTACCTATGTATAACTTCCTATTTTTTTTAGGATTTGTCATTATTTAAATTTATTTAAATTACACAATATTCAAGAAACGTGAGAGGGAATACGTGCGTAGCAACTTTATTTTTCGCAGACGAGCAGATTGTTAGACCTGGTGACGAAATCGGTGTAGGTTAGGAAAGATAAATGCATGTGTCAAAAACAGAATAACTGCCGGTAAGAAGTACAGAAGAAGACCGCTACGTGCAAATATAGCACTAAAAGATTTATACACCTATAAATATCTAGGAAACATAGTTTCGAAAACGGAACAGCCAAAGAAACTGTAGGAAAAAAGCTGTAACCAGTTTAACTAACTAACTACTTTGGTCAAGAAAATTATCTTAACCTCAAATTGACAATTGACAAAGTTATAGTTATGGTGCCTTAGGGATTGACCGAAATAAAAGATACAAGCTGTAGAAATTCACTACTTGAGAAGATACTGCAAGATATCTAGAACAGAGCATATATAAAATGAAAATATACTACCGTAGAATAGAACAAGCAAGAAAGTATCCTCAAGTTTCTGGAAAGAGGGCGGACATACAATGAAAGCTGTGTACGAAATGCGGGATTCGGCAAAGAAAGCTGTAGTACCGTCGCAAAATTTGGATGACTTATGTTTCCGTTGTGATTGGCTTACCGATTTCTGATAAATATGCGGACAAGACAAAACTCGCAACCGTTATTGAGACAATTAGAACCTGACAGTACCATGCATGCATCTCGTAGATACTGCGGATCTTAGAATTGTCTGTGGCAATGATCTTGGTTTCACCATCGAGGGCTTGCTTGATAAGTACTTGCATTCCCTTAGTTTGGCAGATTGAAAACTTTGCAATAAGTAGCAGAACGAAGATCATCCTTGATAAATTCTCTATAGCTAAAAATAAGTGACAACCAGTAAGCTATATTAAAAATCATAGATATGAATGCCTTCGGTGATTTCATGATCTAATTTCTTGTATTTTAAGTTTTTAATGTCATTCGGTTTTATGTAAAAGGTTCCTGCATATGATATTCACCTTGCTCAATATCCACCCGAAACAAATGAGCAAACTCCATATTAAACATAAATATCGAAATGTCGAAGATAATTTGAGTTGCAATCGAATATGTTATATACAGTCTCCGCACCCATCTTGACGCGTTTATTTCAAGTCTCCATATGCCGCTCAGTATCATGGTGTAACGGGTAAATTTAAACAGCTCTATCTTACCCGTCATTTTTGGCTATACGGACGACTTTCCGCTCTACACCTTCATTTATGTTGCAAAAAATGCACCGGTGGGGGTAACAATTTCAGAGTTATAAATTCTGCAGTGAATTTTTTTGAATCATTGGCGTATCAAATGAGTATTTTTCAATTGTGAAATACTAGTGATTTCCTTTTCCGACTCCCCATTTCATATCGTCAAAAGGTTATTTTACGTAAATTTTAAATCTTGGCTTCTACGCCTTGTTAAAAATAACTATTTTATCATAATTTTCGATAAAAAAAGGATATAACTATTGTTAGAAAGACTGTAACTAGCGCCCTCCAGATGATATATAAGAAAAATCGTATTCCCGATTGCTAAAAACCTCCGCGATTCGAAGTTTTCATGTCGATATCTGAAAAGGATCTAGAGCAATATAAAAACAACAATTCCGAAAACTAAGCTCAGATTGCTCATTTGTTTAAATTTGCTCAAATTGTTAACTAACATTAATTATTTATTAATTGTTGATAGGTATTTAATGCAATATCGTTACTAACTCTCGAGGATAGCTTTTTGAGTAGAGGTTACCGAGAGTCATCTATAGTTGTAATGCATGACACGACAAATGCACGCCTCTGGATATTGAATGATTTATTTCGCGTGGTTTCTTTGAGAAAGCTTTTTATTTAGATGATTATATGTTTGAAATAATAGCGAATAGAGAACAAAAGAAAATGCATTGGGGTGTAAATTCTATATACGTATATCAATATTGGTTGTTTTAATGCATAAGTTATTTTTCATGGGGGGAAAAGTTATTTTAAGTTTTGTGCACAAAAAGGGGGGGGGGGGTTGAAGGAGTGTTAATTTGGGGGGGGGGGTATGTTCAGAAAATTACAGTATCTACATCTCTTTTGCCATTTGACTTTGAGTTTTAAGTACTTTCCTTTCTATTGGAGAAATAAAGAGAATACATTCTGACCAAAGTGAGTGGTAGCTCAGGTAGTACCGCCCACTATTGGACCTATTTATACAGCTGGCCTATTCTTATCTTTTGAGTAAGTAGAGAGAGAATTCACTAATAATTGTTTGTTTTATTAGAAGTTCAATTCAGGCTAAATGATCATGCGCACTCATAATATAAAAATAATCTATAATGTTTTTTTTTGGAAAACAAAATGTTTACTAGGACTTTCACATAAGCAGAGTAACATGTTTTGTTGACCCTGCAATACCAAAGCTCCAAGTAAATTTTATTTGACTCCTTACCACCAAAATTAAAAATTTGAAAATATTAATTCATAGTACGATTACAATCTTTTACACGAATTGCATAGTTGGAATCAAGTTTTTCATATACGTTTTGCGACAAGAAAGTTCTGATCTTTTGATTATATTTGTTGGACATTTATTATTCTTAATTAACTAAGAAATAAGCTATCAAATTACACCAAAAGTACTTCTTTTAATGTTTTTAATGAACGATACAAGTTTATTATTATTATTAAATGACCACAATATTAGCTGTGATTTTCGTGGTTGCTTTAGAACAAAAATCTATGAACATAAATTATTTAAACACTTTCTCAACTAGCATAATAATAATACTTCTTTACTTCAATTTGCTTTACAGGAAAAGTACAAATGAAATAACGTCAAAACCAGACACCGATTAATAAATATAATTAACCAAAATATTAGGCAAGTGTATATGGTTCTAGGCTTATTAACATTTCCCTAATACTTTTCTTAAAATTTCTAATAGTGCTGAGATATTTCACAGAGTTCGGTAGATGGTTAAATATCTTGATGCACATATAATATTGTCCTTTTTCTGTTATTGATAGTCTGCGTTAAATTCATTTCTATTTTTAAATATAAATATTAGACAGTCGTAAATATAGATTCCACACACGGTCATTAACTGTAGTTGCTTAAAGCGTCCTCTGCAAGGGTCATTGTACTGCATTTTTCTCATCGATCTTATGGTTCCCTTTTGAATAATAAACATTCTTTTAGTTCAGAACTACATCCCCAGAATATTATGCCATACCGTACAATAGATTCAAAATTGACATAATGAGCAGTTCTTAAAGCTTCCGTTCTCATATACCTTCTGATGACTCTAATTGCATAATCTACCCTATTTACTTTTGTACGTACTATCCGTATATGCGTTTCCCATTTTAAATATTCGTTTATGTCAACATCTAAAAACTTTGCATTCTCCGTAAACTCTACATTTATTTTATCAATTTCTAGATAGTCAGGAATCTGGGTTATTTGTTTTTGTTTTGTTCTAAATAAAATCATCTCTGTTTTATTAGGATCGATTATTAGTTTGTTTTGCACTGCATTTTGCATTTTGCATGCATTTTCTTTTTATTTGTTATAGCCAATCGATTTTCTACAGGTGCTAAAATATTTGTATCATCCGCATAATTAAATTAAATTAAATTATGTATGCCTATTGGTAGATCGTTTATATAAAAAATAAAAAAAATCCTAGTTTGCTACCCTGTGGTATCCCTGTACTATTTTGTAAGATTTCATACATTTTAGATTGTTTTACTAGTAGTGACTAATCAACTAACCTTCTGGACCTGACTAATGAAAAATTATTTTTTTCTTTGTAAATAAAAAGTGCATCAAAGAGCATCATAATTCATTTATCAATAAAAAGCTTTAGTTCAACTATGACTATGAGAATATTGAAGAGAATATAATCATTGTTTAAATCAAGATTGTGAAATTTTACATTTTGAAAGTAAAGGGAACTTTGGAATTTAACAAATTTAACCCTTAATGATTTTAGATTTCATGTATAGATAAATTTTGTTTGTTAGTTTTGGTTACAGTTACAGGGTTAAGGAAACATGTCACTCTGCTTATAAATATTTGCGAAAGTCCAAGTAAACATTTGACTTTAAAAAAAAAGTATTATTCAACTTTCACCAATATCAATATCAAAAACAATAAAATTTTAACTGTTTCTGACCAAATTTTGCAAAAGCTTACGAAATAAACCATAGTTCCGCACGTGCACAAACAAAAGTTCTAAAAAAAGAACTAAGTTTTTTTCACATCTTTGGTTTTACTCTATGTATCCCTATGTAATTTGATACACATCTCCTCAACATAAAAACGCGTATTTTGCTGCAAACGAATTTTTTTCTTTCTTGTTTTTCTCTCTTTTCCCTAAGGACAATTTTCCCTGGAAGCGGAGCCGGTACTGAAGCTACTTTTGGTGCGGTCACTTTTCTGAACCTCATTGATTCACGTCACATCAAACTAGGAAGTCCTTGACAATTTTTTCTTCTTACTTCTCTAAAATACCTAATTATACACCGACCTAGCATGCGGGAAGCGTAACTTTACCACGTGGTTTCTTAGCCACACTTCGGACATTTCCGGGATATTACCGGACGGGTTTGGGAGCAATCGGATGTTTTCGCAGACTTTACTGCACGACACGAATTTTGAAGTTTGTTAATTCTGACCGTCATGTCAGGGAATGTATTCGTGATGTTTCGCAAAAATGTAGCCAAAAACTAAGAGTCGTAAATGTTTGATAAACGTTTTAAGTAACTCGTTTATTAAACACTTACCCGCTGGGCTCAGCCAATGCCAATTAAAGTTGTGACTCAAACGTTGTTTCATGCTGGATATCAAGTTAGAGGTTCAATAAAATCAAATATATTGGACAGTTCTGAGAATATCGTTGACAGAAAGGCGATATTTCTTGTGTATAGATGTTGTCATTGAATGTTTATCTTCTTTGTTTTTATTTTACAGAGCAGACCAAATTATAGAGTGTTTTTCAATAATGCGCTTTTAAAAAATATCTCTGTAAATTATGTATAATATTGTATTTCGATGAAAAAAATTCCAAAACATCACTTTACGTATAATTTACTTATTTAAATATATCTTTGAAACTAATGTTTTGCGTTCCAATGTTGATTTACGAAATGGGCTGGCTGTCCAGATCTGTCTGTCTAACTATTTAAAATTACAGATCTTTTAACAAGAAATTGCAAATCTTTGTTAAGCAGTTCCAGAAGACATCACAGAGACATAGGAATAAGCCAGTTTAAAACGCTGAAACATACATCGTTGGTGAAAATTAATGTAATGATGATTCCAGAAATTAGCTGCAGTTTTGTCAAAGAAGCCAACAACCTACTGATAATGCGGCGCTGACGGTCATAGGTCCAAAAGCACCAATGTTTAAAGTTAGTGGTGTCCGACATTTTTGCATCATGAAGTGAATAAGTATGATGACTTTCTTATCCTGATTGTACCATTCGCTTTCGTACAATGCTAGAGACAACTTCGTACTCTGAAAAATTACTGGATATTCATCAATAGCCAATGTTATAACCTCTACCTCAACCAGAATTTCATCCGCGTTCCACGCTAAAGCCATCAATTGGCAAATTATTAATACCAAGTACACGGTATTAAATAATACTTCTATTCCCTAAAATTGAAAATATTCGCTGTAGATATAAAAATCCGATAGATTTCCCATAGACGATTCGTGGTTCTTACCGCAAAAATTTGGAATATAACTGCAGCAAGTAGTAAAGATGACACGCAGTATTCCAAAAACATTATATATTTAAACGACCCGTTGAATTCTTCTATCCAACTGCAAGATAATTTTTCTACTAAATTAGATGTGTTTGGATGTGTTGTCCAGGTAATTAGTAGGATCACCTATGGACATTTTTGTTTCTTTGCGACCAGTCAAACTTACAAATCTGAGGTAAGAAGACTTCATCAATTCTTGTTTTTTTTTTTGGCTCGTTTAGCATATATATTTGTTGTAATTTATTTTGTTGTGAGCTAATTTAAAATTAAAACTTATTTTGTCACTTATTTTTTGTATTGTCAAGTTTTTCTTTCCTGTAACTATTTTTTATTATATTTATGTATTTAATTTTGTCTTGTTAATGGGTTAGTAAATAAAGTATTATTATTATTTGGTTAATATAATTCGACAAGGTATTTTCTTAAAACTCATATTGAAGAACTAAAATGAAATATTCAATTAAATTAAAACAAAATGAATTATTTTTAGATTTAGAATTAAATAGAAAATCTGAAAGAGTCATCCTGTGCAGAAATGGTAATGAAAATACGTTTTTTGTTTCGCGATATCTTTTTCCGCAATTTAAATTCCTCTTATTAGACAGATTTTGAGAGCACAATCGTGGAGTTTGAATTTTAATATCCCTGGATAATGGCCGACGAGGTATCATGGATTTTTTTTTTAAAGAGCTTTTTTATATTATTTTTCGCCCGATTTTTTTAACATTGTTCAAAAATTAAAATAGTGAAGCCTAGTGCCGCCTCGAGAGGTATCCTAAAGAATATGATTCTCAAAGAGATGTACGCCACTGAATTTTTTGGAATTTTGGTTGTTTTCTTTGAACAAGCCCCTAAAATTACAACTTGTGAGACGTTTGAGTTATTTTCATTTCTTCATCATGTAAATTGACAGAACTTTGTTTATTAATATTTTAGGTTTTGGACTCTTTCGTCACAATTCAACTTAGTTCAAAGAAATTATCAAAAATGCAAGCATATGGGTCGTTAAGAAGATGTAAATGTAGGTACTACAGAATTTATGTATCGCCACCTTTATTTTTGGCACTTACTTAATCAACTTCTGATGCTTTCGACAATAGTTTCTCAAAATATGAAATGAACTTCTTGTTCGCAAATCGTTTTCGAACCTATCGAAAGGGTGGTGGAAATGTCTAAAATAGTGTTGTAAAATTTTTAATTGTGCTCTCAAATATATCATCACGGAGTTCGAAAACGCGTGTACTGAACCACTATACAAGGCTGTTAACAGTATTTCCACCGTTTGATGAGCCATAACGATGCCGAAATGCTTGTTCTTGTCAAAGGGGTACCAGACTTGAACAGCCAGTGCTGTCTCCAACGTATCATTATCAAATTTCTGCCGCCGGTTGGATTTATAATTGGACTCGAAACCTGAAAAATAATGCAGCTTAGGTAAAAGTTGGGTTACGATTCCATTTATTCGATTGACATGAATTTTATTTATCCGAAAGATAATCTTGTGGCATTACATTTTAAATATAATTTCTGGCATATGGCGCAGATGTAGTCCAATCTGGACGTCCAATTTGCGATGACTTTTTCCATCATTTGTGGCCGTATATCGGCGAATGTTGTCTTCCAAATGATCAAGCGTTTGTGGCTTATCCGCATAGACCATTGACTTTACATAGCCCCACAGAAACAGAATGTAGTCTAGCGGTGTTAAAGCACAAGATCTTGGAGGCCAATTCACAGGTCCAAAACGTGAAATTAAGCGCTCACCAAACGTGTCTTTCAATAAATCGATTGTGGCACGAGCTGTGTGACATGTTGCGCCATCTTGTTGAAACCACATCTCCTTGACATCATGGTTATTCAATTCAGAAATGAAAGAGTTAGTAATCATAGCTCTATACCAATCACCATTGACTGTAACGTTCTGGCCATCATCGTTTTTGAAAAAGTACGGACCAATGATTCCACCAGCCCATAAAGCGTACCAAACAGTCAGTTTTTCTGGATGTAACGGTGTTTCGACATACACTTGAGGATTAGCTTCGCTCCAAATGCGGTAGTTTTGTTTGTTGACGTAGCCATTCAACCAGAAGTGCGCTTCATCGCTAAACAAAATTCGCTTATGAAAATCGGGAACCACGGCAATCTCGTTTTGGGCCCATTCGACGAATCTACGCCTTGATGATCGTTTGGCTTCAATTCTTGCACGAGTTGGATTTTGTAAGCACGTAAACCAAGATCCTTCGGCAAAATCTTCCATAAAGTGGATGGACACAGATCCAATTCCTGTGTTCGATGGCGGATGGACTCATTCGGGTCTTCCTCAATGCTACGCTCTACAGCAGCAATAGCTTCTTCTGTATGCACCGTACGGCGTCTCTGGGAATGCGAGTTATCAATAAGAGTAAACGTGGTACGAACACGTTCCATGGTTAATCCAATTAACTGCTCTGATGGACGATTTTGTCGACGATAAAATGGACGTAGTGCGCGATACGTATTGCACTATTTGCAAGCGTTGTTCAGGCGTGAGTCTATTCATGATGAATTGCCAAACCAAACTGAGAATAAATCACTTGACAGCTGTTAAATCGGTAGCCATCTTGAACAGTAATGCCAACTTAAAGTTCTATACATCGAAAAAAACACCCATTTAAATGTTTTTCTTTCGACAAATTGTATTCAGAACACAATTTTTTTTTAAAGCAGTCAATTATGCCAAACCATTATCGCAAAAGATACTTAAGTTTTAATCTTGGGCGATATAAACCTATAGTTTGTGTCAAAAATCTTAAGTTTTATTGTTCTTAAAGAAATGAAATTGTATGCAAATGTATAATATACTAATACTTTTATAAATTTAGGTATATAACATAAACAGTGGTATGGTTAGTGGTATGCATGAGAAAGTAAACTATTGTGATTATAAAAAAGGAGGAAATATTTGGAAAAACATATCCCAACATTCTATCCACTTGCCAAAATTACTTTATTATAGGTTTTTATTTTATTGGATTTTTTTTTCGTTTTAATTCGGTTTGTAACTATTGCGACTGTAATTATTTTGAAATGTATTTTATCTGTAGCAATGAACTTTGAAAAATAAAATATCACACAAAGTAGGCGTCAAAATTTTGCATACATTCTAATTTGGAGATTGAGGATTTCCAGGCTTCTGTTGCAAATTCGAAATTCTGTTTAAAACAAAATAGTAGTTGTGTTGAATATCGCACTTGTTTTTTGAACAAATCAACATGACCCTCGTCAGAGTAGCCATTTAGATAAATACTGTTCCAAAAACCGGTAAGCGACCACTTACTTTTTTATAATAGGTACTATAAAAAAAAAATTATATATGTTTAAGTAAATTATATTATGTTTTCATTTGTTTTGTTTTGTATTTTTTAATACAAGCTTTCAATATATTTTTATATTAATCTGAAAATTTTAGCAGTGTCTGATAGAAAAAAAGTGGCACCTGCTTTTCTTGTTTTTGCAACACAATTATTAAAACTACTAATAAACTACCTAAGTAGCAAGTAAATAAATGACCATAATAATCGTTTTAAAAAATTAGTGTTAATAGAGTATAATTTGTTGATCTTTTTTTTGGTAAGGCGTTGGGGCATGTTTCAATAATAGGAAATTGTTTCATGACAAATTTAATTTATTGCGTTTCAAATTATCTAGACATGTATTTAATTATTTCTTTCATTACTCGTTTTAATTTGGTTTTCAAATGTGTGTGTGACAAATAAAAGTCAACCGGTGTGTTCCAGAAATTTCTTGGAAAGAGTTGAAGTAAAATGCCAGATGATATGATGAATCATATAATTTTACAATTTATACGATTCTTCGAAGACAGTCTTCTATCGTAAACAGTGAATTGCAGGCCATTATTAAAAATTAAGACTTACCCATCTCGGTTAAGTATATGGCCAACGAAAATGAGCAAATCGCAATGATAGCGGTTAAAGAGTTTGAGTATTTCACGTGAATTCTATAAATCTTCTGGGTTTCGGGATCGTTGATCGCAGAGATCCTTGATTCCTCATCGAGGGTCAGCGATAGCAAATCTATCATCTTCTCCGACTGACATAACGTAAGTTTGACGATCAGAAGTACGACGAAAATTAACCTTGACAAGTTTTCGACAGCTTAAAGTTTTAAACGTGTGTTAAAAAATTAGAAGCTTTGTTGTTTTCCAAATTTTCATTTTTCAATGAAAATAGGAAACCGTAACTTCCGAATCACTTTATTTACCTTTTGCCCTATCAACGGTATACAATCTGTAAAACTCGACTATAAACATTATCACAACGGAATCGTAGATAATTTGGCTAGTAATGGAGTACACTTTGTATAAATTCTGCAAAAACCCGCTGGCGATCGTAATTTTCAAGCGCCATATGCCGCTGGCTAGCATCAACCACTTGGTAAACTTAAACAACTCCTTCTTCGACGCCATGTTTACCTGCTGTGATAAAACTCGTTGTGTCGTGGCCATTTTAAACCGCGGGTAATCAGTGGTTGGAAAATAGGCGGAGCTAGAAGTACGCTCTCCTAGATGTAACATAATTTATATTTGAATCGGCATTTATTTCACGTTCATGAAAAACGTTCGGCTCATAATTGGACTTCATGGGCGCGACAATGGAAACGATAAGTTATCAACATAAGAAAATATCGTAACAATATAGAAAATCTAGTGAAAAATAATAATCCTTTTTCAGAATTTGCGCAAATTAAATTAATTAATTGAATAGCTTTAAGTAATATTAAATATTATTTGTTGCAGTATAAATTTCAATTCAATTTCAAACAGATAGCAGAGATTTAATTACTATCCAGACGCAACAATAGAAACAATAATGTCTTTCTTATTATAGCCTAGCACACTACACTGCCCAATAATAATATTCCAATTTGTACATAGTATATAAAATATATATAAAAAGTATATTATATAGGTTAACATCGTGAAATATGAAGAGGTTAGGAATTTTTGATCGATTAAACAACACCTAGCAAAAAAACCATTTCATTGTTATATTATTATATTATATATAGTCCTACTACGGTAAAAATTGATGCGAATGAAATTACATGACATTTTCTTACAGATGATCTTCCGCACTTACCTCTAAAAATACCATGGCCAAACTTATTGACGATCTGTCAGCGGCCATGTTGGTTCCAGAACGCATTGATTAAAAACGATATTTTAAATCTTGTGAAGGCGCAGGTAAAATTCGCCTCAATTTGCTTCACAAGTGTTGGTATTATCAGCATAGGCAGGGCCTCTATATTTCCAGTATATATATGGTTAAAACCAAGAACGACGACGAGAATATATCCGTTTCATTGAACCGAATTGATCATTATCGAATAGAAGCCTTGAGAGCGCCAAATCGTTGCATGAAAAATAGAATAAAAAAATGTAAAATGTAAATTAAAATAAAGTACTATTACATTTAATCAGTAAAATATACCTACTACTAAGATGTAATTTTCTAGCCTCCGTATTAACAGAGTTGGTTAGATGGTACCACCGGACTATATAAAGAAGAGTTCCTTAATTGCAGCCGAGTCGCTTTCTGCTGTCACTAAGCCCTAAAAATATCTCCGGAAAGAGATACATTAATAAATCCGCTTGCTCCCTTCGGTCTTCCTTATTCACTCCGCCTCTGACTAGATATAAATAATTTTGTTCTTTGTCCAGGAACCCTTTTATTTGGATGATTACGTATGTATGTTGAAATGAAAGTGCGATTTAACACGTATACGGAAAACACCGCCAAACCGCACGTTTCTTGGGAAATACATCCATAATAATTAGACCTGTTTTGGTCGTCTTCCGTGGATACTTTGGCATTTAGTAGGAAAAACACATTTTTATTAAAAATTACTAGTTTATTAGGTTCGAATCACATGTATTATACAACACGCCTTATGAATGAAGCTGAAACTACCGTCTCCATGTTACGTCACTTAATCGTACAGATTGCCAGACATCAGTGAAACATAGGAATACGTCAATTTAAGTCTCTGGAACAAAGGCAGGTAATTAAATTTCTCATGAAATATTTTTGGTTCCATTGACTTACGGACAAAGCAGCGTCGGCAGTCATTGGCCCAAACGGTCCTATCGACAAAGTCAACGGTTTCTGCGACCTCATCATCATAATTGCCACAAGGACTTTCACGTGTTGAACTTGATCGTACCATTTGCTACTGTAAAGGGCGTTGGATAGTTCCGTACTCTAAAATCAAGTTTTGCCATCGTGGTGATTGTAGTACCAACTGATGGATATCGACACTATAGAATAATTGTGTAAAATAATTGAGGTTTGTAAAAGTTGTCACCGGACGCGTGAAAATGCTGTAAAGTAAGTATGTTACTAATGGCCCTTTAATTTGTGGAAATTTAAGTGCCATCAATATTTAAAACGGTCAGCAAATTGATTTTTTTTTTAGTTTATTTTTACATTTTTGTTTATGAATCATTTTTGTAACTTAATTTTTTTCCGCAGACATTCGTTTTCTTATTTACCTTATACACCTTGGGAACTTTTGATAGAATAATTGTAGTAATCAACAAAAGCTTTTAGTTGGTCAATTCTTGTTAAACAAACTTTTCTCACCTGCTCTTTAATTTCGTTAGCGTTCCATGCTAGTGCCAATAATTGGGAGAATATCAGTAAAAAGTATACAATGTTGAATCCCACATCTTTTCCCTGCAAGAAATTAATTGAAAATAATTGAACGATTAGTTTTTAGTACATTTTGGTTTAGACTAGCCTTTTACAATAGATGAACTATCTATTTATACAGAGCATTTTTTAAGTACGTGTTCGAAAGTTAGGTTATCCTATACGTTTTACTGCAACCGTTGTAGCAAAGTTCGTGTATGTGTCAGTGTGTCTGATTGTATGTCAGTTCTGGTTCAGAAAAAGTACTTAAGTTTTATCAATTATGGCCAGCTGAACCTGATCCTAAAATTATAAATGTCACGTAACTTTTGGAGGGAAACGTTTAAAATTGCAGTAACTTTTTTGTGGGTTGATTTTTAGACATTTTTCTTACAAAATCGTAAAAATTGTGTTCCGATAGGATGGACCGTTGTCAAAAAAACTAAATTTTGAAAAGACACTGTTCAGCATGCCCAACTTATTTATCCATTAAAAATTGAAAGGTAGACAGAAGAAGAGATTTTAATTTTGTTGTCAATTTGACATTTATGGTGCTTTTTTATTCACCTTGTCCCTGAAAAACGACAACTACTTCCAACATACATAGAAATCTAGCAGAACGTGCATAGTTTATTCGTTCTCAGGGACAAAGGAAATAATGAGGGAAAAGCAGAATTGACGAGATTCCTCAAACAGCATTAACAAGCCTTGCAAATATCATCAATCAAATATCATATCCTAAAACAATTGTAAGTTTACCGGTATATTGTTCCAATCTCTCAAATAAGTTCGCGGCTATGTATCCAAAAAATTTTATTTAGTTTACTTATTTTTCCTGGTTAGTCATTCAATAAGGAATTATGAATTAAACTTAGTGGTTAATGTTATCAATGGGCATGTGTATAGTGTATTTTCAAACTCGAAAACCAGGACACAACCCCTCAAAAGTCACGCCTCTTATATAATATATAAAACTTTAGAAAAAGATTCAGCAGGCCAAAATTACTATAACGCAAAAATTTCAAAATGTTCTCTGAACTTGTCTCGGAGATTAGAGAGAGATTCTTGTAAGGCATATGGATCCGTTTCTCAACTAATGTTTATATATATTATTAAGGATTATTTTTAATGCAGAATATGCTGTTATAGATTCTCCCACTAATATCCGAACATTCTGCATTTATATATATATATATATATATATATATATATATATATATATATATATATATATATATATATATTTGTCACAAATATTGGCTAGTTTTATTTAGTCTTCGAAGCAGTAATTTTAATGTAATTGAGAATAAATTAAACCCCTGCAGTAAAAGTGGTAAATGATATTTAAGGTTTTCACAACGTCTTGATGACAAAAAAATAGACGTTTTGACTTTAAACACTGAAAAATCACTTTCTGAACTTTGGCATGCAACCTAATAACACTTTGAATATGTACCTACCGAAAATATCTGTATAATGACCGCGGCAAGTAGCAGCGACGATATACTGTATTCCAGTAACAAAAGATCCTTAAACGATTCATTTAAATCCTCAATCCATCTGAAATAAGAATAAAACTAAAACAAGTCTTTTGTTAAACATTTTAGTACAAAACTTTAACGAAGATGAGCAATTTACAGCACAAACGGTATATACAGGGTGATTCACGAATGAAAATGAAACTTCGTAATCTTTGGTAAATTTGAGGGGGTTTCTCCTAGCGTGCCGAACATCTATATTAGGTCAAGCATTGAGCTAATTACTTTAGTTTTGATTAGTTTGTTTGTTGTTATAACATATCTGCTAAATACCTGGATGTATGTAGATATAGTGTGAATATACTGTTTACTACAGAACATACAAATTTATACAAAATATATACCAACACATATATTATACCTATGTAATGTATGTAACATTTTGCAAACTGCTTAGTGAGAATATTGTGAACTATTCACGATGTTACTGATAACCAAATTGTTTTATGTGCCCTTAACTGGAAAATATCTGGTAGGTCACTAAAAGCTGTTGGCCATTTAAATGTACACAATAATAAGGAAAATTATGAAATTAATAAGTTTTTAATAAATCCTCAACTCGTAAATCAGGCTTTTATGGAATCAGTAAGCAATATTGCACCCACACAATTGAATATTACCTAAAGTATCGGAAAATTTTTAAACTTTCTGACCCATGTATATATATATATATATATATATATATATATATATATATATATATATATATATATATATATATATATATATATATATATATATATATATATATATATATATATATATATATATATATATATATATATATATATATGTATATATATATATATATATATATATATATATATATATATATATATATAAATATATATATTCTCACGTATTGATTCACGGATGGAAAAATGTGATGACACTATATTCCGGGATATCATCCGTTCGCTCGTTGAACTCCGACTGGAATCCTGCAAATCCTGCATCCGACTGGAATCCTGCAGACGTTTCGCCAAAATCTTACTTGGCATCTTCAATGCTCGCGCTCCGAAAACACTTCGAACACTGAGTGTGAGTAGTGTCATCATATATATATATATATATATATATATATATATATATATATATATATATATATATATATATATATATATATATATATATATATATATATATATATATATATATATATATATATATATATATATATATATATATATATATATATATATATATATATATATATATATATATATATATATATATATATACATATATATATATATATATATATATATATATATATATATATATATATATATATATATATATATATATATATACAGGGTTTTTCACTTAAAACTCCGCACGCCAATAAGTCCAAAACGAAAAGAAATATTTAATTTATGTAAAAAGTGGTCAAAGTGTGAGGTCAAGTAGATATTTCCTAAAGTTTAAAAAATTCGACGCCTGCAAAGAGCTGGGCGTCGCGACGCGTCGAAAAATTATTCGATTGCAGAGACTTTGGAAATACGCGCATACAAAAGTACATATTATTTAAAAACTTTTTTGTTATTTACTCAAACTTATTTACTTTACCCGTTTCTAAGTTATACCGATTTAAAGTAAACATTTCTTGATTAATAAAAAATGTGATTAACGCTTATTTTTACAAGTAAGCCATGAATGTTAGTTACTATGGCAACCATTGTTATGGCAGTTGTTTTAAGTGCAATTGCAAACAATAGATTTCAACTATTTTAGTATGATTTTATTTATTATTTTTTATCGATTTAGTTCTGATGACATGATAAATAAATGAAAAAACAGTAAAATACCTACAAGTTAATAACCAAAATTATTATTGCAATTAACTACATAATAAGACATTTTAAAAATTTTGTTCAAAATTATGTCCATCTGCTCGAACACAACTATCAAAAACTTTTAACAGATGAACTTGGGTCACTTGTAGGAGAGTCCTTCTTGTGATAGCGGCACACGCTGCACTAATTTTGTTAATGAGATCAGCCATATCTTCGATAGGTTCTTCATAGATAACGTTTTTTAGGTAGCCCCAAAGAAAATAATCTGGTGGTGTAATGTCCGGGGACCTCGAAGGCCACCTTACCGGTCCATTAGTACCAAGCCATCTATTGGGATATTCTCGGTTCAAATACCTCGTTACTATTTGGGCATTATGCGCAGGCGCTCCATCCTGCTGTAGCCACATATTCATTCTAGTGTCAAGAGGCACTTCTTCTAATAGTTCCGGAAGTGTAGTTTGAAGAAATCTTAAATAGCGATCTGCATTTAAAGTTCCTTCGTAAAAGTAAGGTCCAATAAGGAATCCATTTAATATGCCGCACCAAACATTGATACTAAAAATTCGTCGGTTACCTCTTTCTGTAATCCAACGAGGATGGTTTTCGGACCAAAAACGACAGTTGTGTCTATTAACGATTCCATTATTTTGAAATCGACTTTCGTCGCTCCATCAAATTTTCGAGAGAAAATTTGCATCTTGGCTATACAAATCGGACAATGTCGCTAAGAAATACATTCTTCTAGCATAATCGCCTGGTTCTAGTTTATGAACTAGTTTACTTTTGTACGGGTGAAAAGAGTTTCTATGTAGAATTCTCCACGAAGAACTTATGGTAACACCGGTAATTTCTTTTATCTCTGATAGGGATATCTTGGGGTTATTATCAACCTGCTGAATTACAGCAGCAGTATTTTCATCATTTGTAGCCGTCCTGTTCCTATCTCTTTTAGGTTTTATGAAGCTGCCATATTCTCTTAAGTTTTTACATAAACATGAAAAGGTTTTTGCATCGGGGACTCTTCTATGCGGATAACGCCGTGCGTAAACTCTTTTTGCTTCTCTACAATTGCATCTGCATTCTCCAAACACCAGTAACATGTCTACTTTTTCCTCATTGCTAAATTGCACCATTTTCACATAATAATTCTTAGTTTTTTTTTAACCGAACAAATTTGGATATTTCTTGTGACAAAATGTGACAATTTTTTGATACAGCAATAACAACTTACGTTTGTAATTGCACTTAAAACAACTGCGATAACAGTGGTTGCCATAGTCCAACATTCATGGCATACTTGTAAAAATAAGCGTTAATCACATTTTTTATTAATCAAGAAATGTTTACTTTAAATCGGTATAACTTAGAAACGGGTAAAGTAAATAAGTTTGAGTAAATAACGAAAAAGATTTTAAATAATATATACTTTTGTGTGCGCGTATTTCCAAAGTCCCTGCATTCGAATAATTTTTCGACGCGTCGCGACGCCCAGCTCTTTGCAGGCGTCGAATTTTTTAAACTTTGGGAAATATCTACTTGACCCCACACTTTGACTACTTTTTACATAAATTAAATATTTCTTTTCGTTTTGGACTTATTGGCGTGCGGAGTTTTAAGTGAAAAACCCTGTATATATATATATATATATATATATATATATATATATATATATATATATATATATATATTCCTTTTTTTATGTGTATTATTAATCAATCCAATATATACTATTCTAAGTTTTTTAAAAACATTAATTACTTAAATTCAATATAAAATCACAAGTAATGCAAGTAAATCCATAACTTCCAAATTTGGCAATACAAGTAGTATATATGGTTTCAATTTTTGCAATAGCATTTCTAACCGTGTATATTGCATTAAGTCTTTCTACGTCTTGCCGAATTCTCGTTTTTAAATATTGAATGTAATTACACCTATTTTCATAAAGAAGTCCAGGGGTGTCAAGTCAAAGCTCCTCGTTGGCCAGCGCATGGTCCCATACCGATCAATCGAAAATGAAAAACGTTGAGTTAAACAATTTCTAATATCGACGGACAGATTACACAGGTCTACAGGGATTTTGATGTCTCGAAAGCTTAGTTATATATATTATATAACATATTTTGGCTGTATCACATCATCTTTTTTATAGCGCTCTATATCTGATAAGTATTATTTTATTAATATATATTCCTACGAGATGAATATGTTTGTTTCATATTAGGCGCGATATTTAAATGAATTGATTTTTATGAAATTAAATGTGATTTAGCAACACTGTGTTGGCGCAGAAGCGTCAATACAGCGTTGTAATCTGCTTATGCGCAGTTTGATTATCTTGGTCGTCGTGCTACTGTGTTTGCGGCTGTTGTCTTCATTGTTGCGTATTTGTAGTGTTCTAAAAGACATTGTGTGAACAATCCAAATAACATTTGATATACCTGTGTGTCTAACTATAACTTCTTTTGTGAAAAATGTATACCACGCTTATTTTGGTATAAAAATTGACGACCAAGACAATGCATGGGCTTCTCATACTGTTTGTTCCCTTTGCATTGAAGCATTAAGAAACTGACAAGAAGGTAGGAAGACATGTTGATGATAGAATGACAGTGATGATTGCTATTTTTGTTGGTGTAATGTTCAAGGAATCAACAGAAAAAATTAGAAACAGATTGTGTATCGCAATCTTGACTTTCTCGTGGACCAGTTGCACTGATACCTACCGCCCCAAGAGAACTAGAAAACGTCATATCGCCAGAATCAGAGGAATCTAATTCCGACCCAGATGGCCCAGATTTCACACCAGATTTCAAATCAAATCAAATCATATAATTTAATTAGAAATTTGTATCTTCCATCTTCTTGACCAAGCATTTACTGGCACCTGCACGAAGCATTTACTTTTACTTACTTACTTGCTTTTGTTTAGGAAGGACCGCTAGTGTATTGCAACAATATTCCTGAATTAGTTTCAAAATTAGGAAATGTGCCGTATATAAAACAAGAATAAGGCAAGTTTATTGACTCAAGTAAGAATAGTTTAAAAGCCGTTAAAGGACCCCTTTTGAAGAAAATATACTACCAAGAATGTCAGTGGATGCTTTGTGGTGACCTTAAAGTGCTGTGCATGCTCCTAGGACAAGAGGGGTATTGTACAAAATTTCCATGCTTTATTTGTGAGTGGGATAGTCGGGTAAGAGATAGATAGACTTAAATAGAATAGCCCTCAAGAACAAGCCTTACACCCGGTAACAAAAGTGTATTAAGAGATAGCTTAGTTGGCCCCAAAAAAGTTTTACTGCCTCTTCTACACATCACACTTAGCTTGATGAAGCAGTTTGTTAAAATCCAAGACAAAAATGAACAGGTAAAAACATTATGCAAAGACAAGGATTTTCAAAACACAATGACCGATGTCGAGAAAAACGATTGAGTTTGGTTTAATGGAATAAATAATTTTAGAAAAGCCTTTTTTTTCCTTTAATATTTGCACAAAAACTTTACGTGATTTTTGAAATCAGCCTACCAAAATTGTATAAAATCAGTTTTTAAAATAATAACATTTGTCTAAAAGTTTAATTTTCAATCCCTGTGTTATCAATTAATGGAAATAAATGGTTCTCCATCAAATTCAAATATCTTTTACCACTAAAAACAAAGCCATAAAATACTGGGCCCATTATTCGGTCGGTATAATGCCACACCACCCATCAACACACAACGACCCTGTTTCTTTATTTTTTTGTGACGATATCCATTTGAAATACGGCAGTATTGAATATGAGGTAAATAGATTTTTTTTAATGTCACTTTCAAAATAGTGGTCCATCATAAGGGAACAATAAAAGTCTTGTCTAAAGGTCCTGTTGGAATAATTTCTGAACTGCCAAAAATTTGAATAGATGGTAGTAAATTTTAAAGTCCTTACTAATATCCGATCGATATCGAGATGCATCTCCTTGTGAGTTTTCGTTTTCTTCAAAATACAGAAGAACTTCTAATTGCTTTTGGGCGTCGTTTTTATTATTGACAACCACTCCACGTCCAAGATCATGATCAATTCGTGAAATATATGTTTAGTGGGTATCCGTCTTTGAAAATACAACCTATATTCTCTCAGGACTCATGCTGGACTCTTATTATTTCTTATGTAACATTCGTGAAGATCTAAACGCTCTTGAAGACTGTAAAAAGGCATTTGATCTTGGTTGATTGGTTGGTTGGTGACAACTAAATGTTAAATAAAAACTGTGTATTTTGTGTCCAGGTAACAATTTTATTAGTTTTTTCTTTTCATGGCTATCTATAAGGCGCGGTTAGAAAAAGTTTTGTAATTAGTACTAATTTCTACTTAGTTGCGTTACTTGTTGATTTTATATTTAATTTAACTAATTACTGTTTACAAAAAAACTTCCATGGATCCATAATAAAAATTCCCAATTTTCGTTTTCAAGAGTTAAATACACATTTTTCCAAAGATCTGTTTTTTCGCAATAAAATGGAAAAGTTTATTTTTGTCGAAAACTACTCATAATTTCGTACGCTATGTTATGGCAAAAAAATTGTCAAAATCAACCGAACTTTTAGAAATTTTAAAAAGATTCATAACGCTCCATTTAAAAAAATAAAGTTGATTGCTGTCCTGGCACAACGGACCAACCTGTATATATAAAAACACTATAAATAAAATATGTACTTAGGGTCAAACACTATTTGTATTTAACTTGTTTTCCTCAGGGTCGTACTTATTGAAATGCGGTTTAGGAGTATCTTAAATAGACCACTAACGTATACTGCTTGAATAAAGGCAACTCAATTTGAAGGATGTTCATCATTAGAACATAATAAAAACACTTTCGTGACACCCTGTATATAGATAAATGCAAAATCGTGTGTATCTGATCATCATGTTATTATCAACCAACCAGCTTCAGAAAATAATCCGTACCCAATCAGCTGCTGATGTTTTACTGCGAGTGATTTCAAGCCGGAAGCATTAGCCGCAGGCATATTAGATTCGTATTCGGCACCGGATTTGTGACAATTTTTGAAATGGTATTGAAGAATTTGCAACTGGGCTCTGATGAAAATCATCACCGAATTTGTAAAGGCGTGTACGGATCCGCTATACAGGGCGGTCAAAAGAATTTCGACCACTTGGTAACCTAAAGCCCACGCATGATGTTTGTTTTTGTCGAAAGGATACCATGTGGGCATCGGGAGAGGTTTGTCCAGTGTCGAATTAACCATGTCATGCGATTTGTTGAATCTGAAACTTTTCTCGATTCCTGCAAAATTGCCATCTGTATTTTTCTTATTTCCCTAACCCAGTATCGATAGGATTCTCGGAAGTTATACTTTAAAGATGTTTTTTTGATACATACCAATTTCGCTTAAATATATACCCAAACCAAACGAATAAATGGCTGTAGCCGATGTTATCCTAGTGCAGTAAGTTATATGATCCAAATAGATATTCTTTGTGGCCTCATCGCGTCCGTTAAATATGTCATATTCTTCTTTGACCGCGAACCTCATTAACTTTAGTATATTTTCAGATTGACACAAAGTTATTTTCACCACAAGAAGCAGCGCGAAGCACATTTTTGAGACGTTCTCGATGGCTTGAAAATATGAGAAGAGTATTCGTTAGCATCGGTACCAAAAAAAAACGTTGCAGCCGATTCTCCTTTCAAGTTGATTGTTTTGAAGAATAACTGTTTACCTCCGTTAGTAAAACTCTAAATTCACGAACATTTTTCTGTTTTCTGATACAGTCAATTCTAGCTTAAAGCATAAAATATTTGCTAACACTTCCAAAATAAATATCAGTTTTCGAAATAAATAAATCAATTTGAGAATATTATTAAATTATTACATTCGTAAAAATCAAAATGTGCAGTGTTGCGTCGGGTGTGCTGTTTAGTATTGTTCTATTGGAGACTGGTAAGCGCTTTGTAAATGCGGATTATGGGGCTTGGGCAGACAATCTAAACTTTTATGGCACGGTTAACACTCTAAGTGTGAAGTAAAATTTAACCTATTTTAAATATACCAGCACTCCAGGAGCAGTCTCTGCGGATTAACAAAACATGAGGTTTGCAAAAATATTATTAGTAAGTTCAAATTTCTACATCAAACACTTAAAATGAAACAATAATGGGAAACATCGCTACTAGATTAGACCTGTGTTAACTAAGAGAATTCGAGTGTAGATGGACCATGTAAATATTGAACTAAGATTTTTCACAAAGTACTTATCAGGGATACCGTTATGACATAGATTGATAGTGCTATTGTGTAATTATTTTTAAATAAGCATTTTTTCAAACATTTCGATACAACTGATCTTATATTTTTCAAACAGAAAAAGAACATCATCAAATGGAGCGTGGAACCAGAAATTGTTTTCAAATTTCTAAAGATGCTAGTTTATAAATTTTTCTAAAAATGTGGTATATTATGCAACAAGTGCGGTAAACGGCATTTGACTCACGGGTGATTTAAAAAGGTTACCGAACGTGTTGCATGCCATACTTTTTCTACGACCGTTAGTTTTTGGTTAAATTTTCGCAAAACAACACGGATACATTCACTGACACGACCGTCAGAATTGACAAACGTCAAAATTCAAGGCGTGGAAAATATTTCCGAAAGCATCCGATTGCTCCCAAACCCGTGCGGTAAAATCCCGAAAATGTCCGAAGTGGCTCGGATCCGTGAGAAAAGAAACTGACGTGGTAAAGTGCCGCTTCCCGCACGCTAGATCGGTGTGTAATTAGGTATTTTACAGACGGGAATAGAAAAAAAATTAATTAACTTTTAATTTGTAACTTTAATATCGTTATACTTTAAGTCTATTATCACCGAGATTAAACATAAAATATTAAATATTAAACATAAAAAACACTTGGATCTCAAAACACCTCAAATAGATTGCATTGAAAAGTTACATTCTCTAAATTACAAAATTAATAGGTTAGACATTTTCTTATTTATAAACAAAATTAAAATTTTTATAAAATACTTCTATAAAACTGTAACTTGGTGCAATTCCTATATTCTGCTTCTAAAACTTTTGTTCGACAAAATATTTCTACCAACTTTTCGAAATATTCTCCATTTATGGGATTTATCAACCCCTATCACTGCTTGAAAAATATTGAAAATGAAGCATGTTTGGCTACCACTAAGAAAGAGTTAATTATTAGAGTTTTTGTGTTTGAGTGATGTTTGTTGTGTGATGTTGTGATTCTGTATGAAATTAAGAATTATTCTTTGTGCTATCCTTTAAAAGGGCGTAGTGTACCTATTCTTTTTGTATAAAATAAAAATACAAATTTGCAAAACTTACCAGCATCAGTATTTTTTCCAAAGAGTTTCGTAAATTCAACTCCCAAGGAAACAATCAAAGAGTAGTAAAAAAACTGGACACTGTAAGAGTATCCTAAATATACTTTGTACAAGGTTTTCGAAATTGTATCTATGTCGAGTCTCCACGTTCCGCTGGCAATCATCAACCACTTGACAATTTTAAAGATCTCCCTTTCGGCTGTCATAGCGTTCGACGTATGTCGCAACCAAAGAAGAAGAAGCTACTTTTAGAGACTCATTTGGCTAGTAACGAAACGTCACCGGTATTATTATTTGAGTCGCTTCATACCCTTATTTTTCAGAGTTCGTTTAATAATAAACATGGCCAGAGTCGTCACAAATCCTAACTAACTAACCAAAACAATTAATGGAAATAATAGCGATCGATTTAACCCGTCTATTCAGATGTCGTTGTTGCGATTAATAATACTTGAGTCAAAGATTTGAAAAAAATGAGTTACTTTTCCATGAACCGAAAACAGACAAAGTGAGTTGAGAAAAGTTCAAATTATTATTCATTGTTATGAAACTTTATTAATGGCGGTCGCATAAATTTTTGCGTTTATAGACGACGTCAATAATTTTATTGGCAAATTTTAAGTAATGAAGCTTTTTTGTTTTGATCACGAACGCCTCTGTGTCGGTAAAATAAATAATGTGCTGGATCGAAAAGCCCGCTATTCAGGAAATTACAGGTTTGTGGCAAATTACAAGCAAACACGTATTGAAAGAGTTTTTTACATCGTTTGTTTGCCGATGTGGTTATTTAAGTTATTGATACTTCAGCGGGATGGGCTCATCGCAGATAAGCAGTTTTTACAATATGCGGAGAAAAAATTATTTTGCTGTTGTATCTATGGGTAAATATAATTGTAGTGCTTAATTTGTAGGTTAAAAACGCATGGTATTATTATACCGTATATGTTCCGTTTTAGTCTAAAGCATTTTTAAGCTAAGTTACATTTTAACGAAAATATGTATTAAGACCAAGTTTTCTCGTTAAGTTAGTTTTTATTTTAGAAATAAAAAATGGATTGAACATTGAACTTTTTACTATTCTCTTATATACGATTATATTGCGTTTTCGTAATTTTGGTGTCAACAAATATTCGAGCGCTTCATCGGTAGTCATTTTCTTTAATTATTTAGTATTCTTTGGTCCTTTTACCGCTCACATGCATACTCAGTCTGGTGGCGTAGGCAAGTTCTTGCGTACTCGGAGATATCGTTTAATTTCTTGCTCTATTCCAAACAAATTTTGCCTGATAACCAAGATTCGTCGGCGATTGGGAATAATTTCTTGTGACTGTGACATATCATCCACTTATCTGAAAATAGCACACATACTTTTTTGGAGCGACTTAATAATATATAAAGGAAATAAAACAACAGGTTAAATTGCCGTGATTATCTTAAACATTTTCTTTATCAAGGGAACGTTAGATTATAATCAAAAACAAAAAATCACGTTTAATTTTGCTAGTAGTTTTATTTTATTCTAAAACCAGGACAACGTTTACATTTGCTTTTTATCGAACTATCGACTGTTCCCAGACATCAACGAGACATACGAATAGGCTAATTTTGCTCGCTAAAAATCAATCCAAATTAGCAAACGGTGATCCGATGAACGAGGGTAATGTCATATTAATATATTGTAATACTAACCGACAATGCAGCATCTGCAGTCATAGCACCAAAAGGACCGATAGACAGTGTTAGTGGCTTCTGACATCTCATCATCATAACTAAAATGAAAACTTTTACCTGTTGACTGTGTTTGTACCAACTGCTGTTATAGAGGGCGTTTGCCAAATTGGCACTCTGAAATAAAGATATCCATGGCAACAAACAGGCGATTCATTCTTCAAAAGGCTCTATAATAATAATGTAGATACTATTTACCAATCTTGTGAATTCCTAGTGCATTGGTTTCAGTAGATTTGTAAATAGTATTACAGCAGCCAATGGAAGTTTATTTGAAAAATTAAAAATAGAGATAGTTAACTAACATTGAGAGAGAATTAATAAGCCATTCCGAAAAATAAAACAACTTCAATGTATCAGTTTCAACGAAGAAAATTAGAGAAATACGTTAACAAATTTGACGAAAATCGCTGTCATTGGTCATGACGTCAGCGCTCGTAGCTTGAACTTCTCGCCTCATCAATAGTTAAATGTTTTATCTGTAATATGAGATACATTCTTTGCTAGAAACGAATTTTCATTTGTCCGCCAGTAATTTTTTACTGATATTTTCTTTCTATATACCTTAGTAATTGAAATATAAGCTGCATTTATTCGGAACTATAAAATATCAGGTTTCGTCGAAAGCTTTACAGTCTATATCTGTCACAATCAAATTCATTCATGCATATGTTTTTGACATTCCAAATAATGGTATTTAGTTTACATACATGTTCGAAATACATGGTCTAAAACTGGATTTGTTTATTTTTTTAATCCTCCGCTGGTTCGCTGCTATCACTACTACAATAATTTAAATCAATCCCTTCTTATATATGGAGATTATAAAACATTTTGTAAACTTTCTTTTGTATTAAATTTTGATGTTGAAACACTTTCTATACGATTTCATTCTATCTGAACAAAACAGTTACGATACTGTACTGGATTTGCTGCTTGCTCTTCTATTTCTGAGTATGTTACCATATTCTCTAATTCTCTTAAGGTCTACAAATAGGTAGAAGGTTCGGTTTTTACCCACGCTTGAGAATCACTAATAAAAAATGCACTTGGATGGCTTTTCATATATCAGAGTTTTCACTTTCAGTTATGATTACTAAAATTTACGTATTTAGTACCCATATCTGATTACTTACTTATACTTTATTCGACAAAGCCACAACTCCGTGCTTACAAACACAACAGGGCCGCAAATAAACACGAGCACTGACGGCACGAGGCTAAGGGTACATTTTCTATCCTCGTCAATTGCCGTCTATTGTCTTATTTTTGTTTTTGTTTGTTAATATTTATTTTAAATAAATTTCATGCTCGCTACGGCTTACTACCGCGCCGTGTATTTGATTTTTGTTAATTCCGAAAATTATTGAAACATCCTATTTTATTATATGCAAGAAATAAGTCAACCAGCTCTTTAATTCGATAATTACCTGTTCTTTAACTTCGTCAGCGTTCCAAGCTAAAACCACAAGCTGAAGAAATATCAGCATTAAGTAGATAGTATGAAATACCGCGTCCTTTCCCTTAAAATAAATTACACATACAACATTGAACATTTTATAGTGATACTTTCCATTAATAGTATTCAATTGTTTTTCTGAGTTCTTATTTCGGTAACTTATAATACTATAAATATTCACAAATCGTGTTAGGTTTTGTTTGCAAGAACAATTTTGCTTTGAGCACGTCGTTAAATTTTATAAAAAATTCCAAGGTCTTTAATATTTCTTGAAACTTCATATAAACCTATAAGTTTTTAAAAAGCGAACCTGGTGAAAATGGTGTTTTGTTACACACATTACATTCGAAATGTTATATTTTAATTGGAAATACATAAATAATGTTTTATAGCACTCAAAAAGGGAGCGCTTCAGTTATAGGAGAGGTAAAATATAAAATTATTGTTATTATCTAGTCGTCTCAGAAAATTTTCGGAGTTTTTCAGTTGTTATAATATTAAATAAGGCATTTTTATAATGTCAAATGTGGAAAATAAAAATTCATTTTTGTTAAATTTATAGAGTAAAAGCAAAATAAGTATGGAAAAATAAAATATATTGTATACAGATGATATTGATTAAGCTATATAATTAGGAATTGATGGGGAGTAGAAGTTTCACAACGGTCTAAAATTTAATCACCTTTATTTTTATAAGATTCTTATTTTGCTATAGGCATTATAATAAGAGTAATGAAAACGCTCCGCAAACAATTGATAAGTCTTCAGGTTTTACAAAATAAGCAACCGAAACGTACCGATACTGTTAGAAATTATAAATCTAAATCTAGTGAAACGAGGATTCTTTCAAACTTACCGCGAATATTTGCATGATTACCGCAGCAAGCAATAAGGAAGACACGATATATTCGATTAGCAGCAACTCTTTAAATGAATTGTCCAAATCTTCCATCCAGCTGGAAACAAAAAAATATGTTCCATCGTAAACTATTCCATACACCAGTCTTACATAATCAGCTTGTGGTGACTTCTAAGGAAAACTTTCAACGTATGTAAACCAACGTCATCTACTTCCAGAAATTCATCCGTCACTGAGTATGCATCAAAATTGGCCAGGAGATATTGTAGAATTTTCAACTGGGATCGTACGAATATAATGGCGGCATTTGTAAATGCCTGCACTGATCCGCTGTATAAAGCGGTGAGAAAAACTTCGACAATCTGATGCACCAGAGCCCAAACATGGTATTTGTTCCTGTCGAATGGATACCAGAGGGGCATCGGAAGTGGTTTTTCGAGACTTACGTTGAATCCTTTGTGCGCTTTGTAAAATAGGTAGCTATTGGTAATCCCTGAGCAAAATTAACATTAGTTAGATGCCGATTGCATTAAAATTAAGTAAAAACTAACAATTGCAGGTGTTTTTCTTTAAGCAACTCTCATAAACTTAACTATAAATTAACAAATGCAATAGAAATCTAGTTGCTCTTTCACAAATTTCATAATCTGTTAAAATTACGATCAGTGGACTGTTTCCATTATTCCACTTCGGATGGCTTTGGACCAACAATAAGCAAGTATAACAGCTTCTTTTTTATTATTGTTGTCACTTTTGCTATATGATTTTTTGCTTTTCATCTTATTTTTTCAGTTCCTAGCTTTATTTTCTGTTTTTTTGAACTGGCGTTTGAAGCGACCTACCTATTTCTATCAGATATCCTCCCAACAAAAACGAGTATACCGCTACGGTGTAAGTTATCTTGGAGGAATATCGTACATGGGACTTATATATCGTTTGTATTGCTTTGTCGTCTTTTTTAAAAACCTCTTCTTCCTCTTTAATTGCCGATCTCGTTAGATTTACTAACTTGTTAGATTGACAGAGAAGCAGCTTGAGCATGAGAAGGATCCCGAATATGGTCTTCGACAAATTTTCAATTGCTATAATACAAAAAAATATGATTAGGATTTTTCGTAACACATATTCAAGCAAAATAAAAATAATAAATCCTCATTAACTTTCCAGAACAACAATGGAAAAAAATCCGAAAAATGTACAGCAACATTTGTTTATTTTATTGCGTAATTTATTTATGGTAGATTAATATTTCTTTAAACCACATAATTAATATTTACATGAAATAATCGGACCCCCAAGAAACATAACAACGCGGTTATTGTGCATTTTGTTAGCGATTTGGGGACTGCGGGGTCCTAAGTTTATTGGTTATTGAAGGCAAAGCCGTAAAAATTATTATGGAAATGGAAATATTTTTCATTATAATGACGTGGGTCATTTGTGGTCTATATTTCAGGATAAGTATTTATAAAATTCAAAACTTTTTTTAGGTAGTCATTTAACTATAATATCAATTATGTAGTATTGTATCAATTGATCAATTTTATGAGATATAAAGAAATTGGATTGATTCAATTTCACACCTCAAATTTGCATATTAGTTTCTAATTTTCCGCTAAATAATCCGGCATCTTTCACGGCGTCTTGCCGTATCCCTTTATCTTTTTCATCTAAATAGAAACTTTCTGCCCATGTGTTCGCATTATTAAAGTAACAAATTATTTCATCTAAATTATTAGTATTCTAAATATCCAGGCACTATAAAATTATATTATTAGAGCGGGATCGTACCAAACAAACGTTTCAAATTAAACATAATTATTATTATTTATTTCGAAAATAAATTACACTTGTATTTAGTAGTATTTAATTTGTTGTCTTCTCTTGAAAATTTTATATAAAACTTCCTTCAAACTGTATTACATATTTTATTCATTATTTTGCAAAAGTTTGTTATGGTTTCGGCTAAGAGTTGTCATCAAGCATTTACTAGTATTGCCGTTCCCTAAAGTTCAATTTAAAATGTTTAAATAGGAACATAAACTTAATAAACTACTTCTTAAATAAGATATTACAAATTTATCTAGTGAACTTGAACATCGGATTGTTGTCATTACGCATTTAGAAACTATAAAATGCCGAACCTTTGAGCAGAAATGTACACGAACTAAGAAAATTCAAATATATGACTAACCATAACTAATTTATTTATAATAAATAATGAAATTCTGGGTCCAAATAAGAAAAATCTAAGGCAAACTAAATGTAAAAATGTAAATGTGAAATAACATCTATTATGTAAATCAAATTATACAACGTTTATCACAAAGATTTAATCTTTACATCAACTATTTAGTTAGTAAATATATAAAGCTAATATATCCTTAAGAAACAAACACTTCTTTAAAACTGATAAACGCGTATTCCCTAATACTTAGGAGATTTGAAAAAACACATTTATTCGAATCAAACAAAGATTTACGTATTGTCTGGCCATTTATTAAAAACGGGACAAGTATTTATTTGAACAAATATTTATTTGACGCTAACAATTTTAGTATCAACATTTTTCCAAAATTTAAAATAAATATTTATTTGGGCATTATCCAAAAACACTTTTTTTAAATAACTTCAAATTTTGTAAAAGTGTATAATTTTGTAATAAATATTTAGCGGACTGGGAATTCCATTCTTATAACGCTATAAAATTAACCCAAAATACCTGACATCTTGGACAGAATATGTCTGATAGGTGGAAAATATTGGCGAAATTTGGTTAGCAAAACTTTTTTGTTCATGCAATGAAATTATTTTTTGAGTCATAATTCAATAAATTAAAACAGCATAATTTGGCGTAATTGTTGCGGTCATTATTTATTGTAATTGAGTCTGAGTTTTAGTTAACTGTTTAACATCTTACCTCCCTCCATATTATTGGCGCGATAGCGAACGACGAATTCCACTACCAACGAGACTACCAAGGTACTGTAAAATACTTGAATAGAGTATGAATAAATGGTATAGACCCAAGATGAAACTGACGAGGACGTGGCAGTTTGTAATCTCCAAATACCACCGGCGATCATGAGAAATTTGACTGATTTAAAAAGCTCCTTTTCAGTGGCCATTTCGCATCTGTCTGACGTACACGATACGGTGGCGCATATTTTAAAGAGATAGCTAAGTATATGTTTCACGTGTCGGTTGCCGACGGCATTATTAGCGAAAGCATAAAATAATAAAAAATCCAGTGGCATCGACTCGTCTTGCAGATTATACTAATTTCATTTCTTTTAAACTACCAAATTAACGCGCTAAAACCATAACTAAGGAGAGAGTACTTTTTTACAAGTACCTGCCCAAAAATCAAATGAAAAATCAGCCTCCGATTGATAAATTATATCCGTCGTTCAAACATTGTCGGCACGCCGCTGTTGCGAGGCTACTGAATAATTCTATTTTACGAAATGAACAAACAAAATTGTATGACAGACATAAACAAATTATAAGGCAACACGTAAACCGAAAACAGCTTCTATTGGTTTTCTTTTAAAATACACGCATTAGTGCACAAAGTTATAAGAACCCTAGAAAACAGTTTGTGCAAGATAAATAATGAAGTAGAATCTATGGAACATTTATAACTGTGGCTTATTGGAAAGATGCCAAAATCATATATTTGATATCATCTCTATGTAAGTGTTAAAATTTACTCACCTGCATTGCCGGGATCACTCCGATAGGACTGATTGAGAAAGTTGGAGGTTTCTGATACCTCGCCATTATTATATGTCTGAATACTTTTTGGGTCTGCTACTACAGAGCATCAGCTAAATTTTAACTCCAAAAATTAGTGATATATAATCAAATGGTGTGTGAGCTCTGAATGAAAATTACCTGTTCTTTAATTTCGTCGGAGTTCAAGTCAAAAGGTAGGGGCATATATTATTAAAAAAAATTATCAAAAAATGCATATATTTGAACTGTGATCGCTGCCAGAGTTATAACAATGGTAATGGGGATAGTTAACTTGTGGTGTTTCATAAGGAAAGCATTCAAAGTCACCTGAATGATATCGTCTGAAGTTTCGCGTTTCATTTCGACAGCGCACTTATCAAAATTAGAGAACGAATATTGTGATGTCTTGTTCTTGAGCCCTGGCAAATGTTATAATAAAGTTTATAAACGGATATACAGGGTACAGTGTGCAGAGCAGTAACACGTCTTCTTATCAAAGGGGTATCAAAGCGACATCAAGAAAGGTTTATTCAGCGTTTCATTTCAATGTTTATTTGCTTTGTTAAACGACCAATGCCTGAAAAAAATATGCGATAATTAAATTTAAACTGTCAAGAAATTATATATTTCAACAGTATAATAGGAAAACCCTTATTCAAATATTGCAGATTTAGGCATATAGTCGAAGGATTGAGCTATGGGTTCTCCACTATCACCAGTCATCGCGAATATATATATGGAAAGCCTTTGAGAAGAAAGCTCTCGACACCTTTCATCTAAAACCAAAATTATGGAAACGCTACGTCGATGACACATTTGTTATTTGGCCTCATGGTCAAGAAACCCTAGTAGATTTTCTTAGACATTTAAACTCGATACACCATAACATACGTTTTACCATTCTTATCAATAGAAAATCAGACCTAACATTGGGTCATTGTGTTTACAGAAAACCTACGCACCCAGACCGATACCTTAATGCATGGTCACATCACCATCCGGCCCAAAAATCATCGGTTATCAACTCTCTTGTTTACAGAACCGTAAAACTCTCAGCGTGAGTCATTGAATCCAAAATTAAAACACCTTACCTCTGCTCTTCTCTCTAATAATTTCCACATTAAAAAATACACTTCACCAAAACCTTCCAATAGCAATGAAGCCGAAAGTAATCCTAGACTTGCCACTGTGGTCCTTCCTTACATTCAAAACATCACTGACCATATATCAAAAGTTCTAAAGAAGTATAACATCAAAACCAGATGCATTCCATGCATGTGGGGCAAAGAATCCATTGGAGAGACCGGACGAAAAATACCAACTAGGCTCAAAGAACACGACAGAGCCTTACGACTAAGACAAATAAACTCATTAGCTGTTGCCGAACACACTCATGAAACCGGGCATAAAATTTTATTTGATAAAACTAAAATTCTTGCATGTAATCAGTTCTTCTACCAACGAAAAATCCGAGAGTCTATAGAAATCTATAAACAACCTAACAATCTTAAATGCGACTCAGGTCTCTACCTGTCAGTCATCCGAGACGGTGTTTACTTCCCTCATTCCTTCCCTCAAATGATTTCCCTTTTTGGGACAACACGTGTGGCAAGGACCAAGTTGGAACCTTTGCAAGAACTGATTTTTTCGTCTCAGAAAGTTGGTGCCATGATACATTACCATAGTATTTGGTAGTTGAGAAGAGTTTGATGATTTTACTAGTGTTTACAGCATTTCATGCATATGCGGCAAAGAATATATTGGAGAGACAGGACAAAAAATAACAACTCGGTTCAAGAGCCTTGAGACTACAACAAATATACTCATCTGCATTTGCCGAATTCTATTAGTCACAAAAAATCCGAGACCCTATAAGCAACCAGACAATCTTAATAGCGATTTAGCGATTTACCTTTCACCAATGTGAGAATCCGTCATCCAAGACAACGTTCGTGGCCCTCTTTCAGCTCAGCTCGAACAATATATAAGCAAATACAGAGTAAAATACGAGCCAGTTTCAGTCAAGCTCTGAAGAAGCCAACAGGATGATTGGCGAAACGTTAGCTAGTTCGACTCAATAAAAAACCGGCGCAGGAGGAATCCAGAAGTTTTGCAAAAAGCAAAATAAGGCTGACTCAACCATATCTTAACAAGCAGCAACAAATTTTTTGACTAATTTTCCATGACTACAAGTGAAAAAAATATTGTTATTGAGACAACAAGAAAACCGGAAGAAATATATTTAGTCATTTGCGCAGTGAAACTGCCGTATCTGGTTAAGAAATCGATTATAAGTTGGAAAATAAAGGAAACGTAGACAAATTTAATAAATTTTATATAATACAGTTACTAGATACAACAAACAAATTTGTACGGCATATGCCGTTTACTATTAACATCTATTTATACATCCATACCAAAAAAAGTGACTTTATTATTAATTGGGGGTAATTAGATGGGGTTAGCACTGGAAATTTTACCGAAAGTTCGATTTTTCTTCTGAACTTGGTTTAGAAAAAACTGATGGACACAAAATTTAATAATTTTGTGGATATTGCATTCGACCTCGTTGTATATTCATATCCTGCGTTTCGTTTGTTGAAAAACACCCTTCCCTCGACAAGCATGATTCTAGTCATAAAGTCTGGATACTGGTCTGACTACACAAGATAGAGGTAACTGGGTGCGAATATTTGTCCAACGTATATTTCTCGCTTTCTCCTACCTATTTCGCTAGATGAACATCTTTCTCTGGCATTAAAAAAAGTGAACATAGATGGAGCCACTCTCGGCTTAATCAATGTTGCCACATATATTTTCAGAAGGTCAAAACTAGTTTGGATATATTGGACAGAAATAAAAAAATGTCAAAACAATATATCTTTTTTTTTAATTGAATGCCTATGGCTTTAATTTTATGCGCGTAATAGAAAAAAAAACTTACCTGAGAAAATACTTTTCTAATTAGTTATTAAAAAAAAATTCTTATAGGAAAGCTTTGTTATGTCCTCTGTTTTTAGTCACATAAAAAATATAGTAACTTTCACCTCTTTAATTGATTTCAAAAATGCATTAAAAAAATGGTGGTTATATTATACGTTTAATAAAATGGTTCATTTTTCGTCAGGAATGCCATCCTTTGTTGAATTCATTTAATTTTTTTATTCTGTGGGCCCTTAGTTTAAAAAAAATAATAACTCACAAAATGATGTACGATGTAAAGTTTGTTTATGTTATGTTGTTAAATGTTTAGTTGAAATGGTGTCCTTGTCTCCATCAAGCATACAAATCTAACCACTCGTTAATCAATGTTCTATACAATTCAATAAAAAAATACAGTGCTATTCTCAGCACTAGAGCTGCAACTGATAATTAAATCCTTTAAAATCACTGACAAGTTATTGGTTACGAGTTTCCATACACAGAACCGCCAGAAAAATGAGACAATTTGTTATGCATAAAACACATGAAATATTCATTTTCCATTTCGCTCTAACAAAGTCCAAATTATATTTCTAAAGTTTTACATAATTTATGGATATTCTGATGTTTTCATTTTGTTGTTTCGGATGGTGATATATGTCTTTTCCGTTTTAAACGTTGCCGGACAGTCTGCAAAAAGGGGGCTCTTTCAGCACGCGTTCCAAATGGGACATTACTAAACTGTTTCGGAGGTACAGCTTATTCCGTTATCAGCCATAGTAGGAAGTTATAATGTTTCATTCATATTTGGTTGATTATTTTCTTGAAATAAATCTAGAATGTTTGCATTTTTCAGTGTTAATGAGTACCTCTACATTTGATTCTTTTTACGTTCCTCGTTTTCAAAATATAAAACAGGCACTGTTCATATAAAAGTACAAAAAAATAGAAAAATGTCATTTTCGGATGTCACTGGAATTAGTAATTTTAATGTAACTAATGGGCTGAATACCACTTTCAAATTTAAAGAAAAAATGTATTTAATTGTATGGAGAAAGGAATAGGAACATTTTCTTAGCTTATTGGTTAACAAAACATGTCTTTTTTAGATTTTATAAAAATGTTTTATTAAAATAACACCAAAATTGTAAAATTAACTTAATTAATTAACTTAAAACTCTCCACAACCAGTTGAGTGGTCCTGTATATTCCAATTCAATAACACTACTCCATATAAAAAAAAAATAAATAATCGACCCTTCTGGTAATTTTTCTTAAGCCTGTGGAACGTTTTCTCTTAAAATGGACCATTTAATGCACTCTACACCAAATTTAAGTGAGGTTTGATAACGTCCTATTTTTAGTTAAATGTTTGATGGTGTTCGTGGTACATGGATTATCTATATTTATAAGTCTCAGGGTTACTGTGTTAAATACCTTTTTAATATTTATTTGACCAGAATTTAG